AATCACAAGGCCGTATAAGTGGTCGACTGCATGGATGTGTGCACCTCCCACCTAACAATAACGGGGCTTCCTGCCTCCGGCTGGCATCTCTAGTCGTGTGGCCTTTTTCTTCTTCTCCATCTCATTTTTCTCCCCAGCAATCTCTCACCAGCCCTCGCGGTTGTCCAACCACCATCAAAGCCAGTGTGAATAACAACAGATAAAAGACTCGATAGTGCTACCCTGGCCTAAACCAAGGGCAAGTTCGCATTCTACGTTCAATACACCCAAGAACACTGACGCAGGGAAACTTCAGACTCAAAAGTACTTCGCTTTCTGGGTGGATTCCAGAAAGGCAATATGATTTCATTATCCACCCACGACCGTCCTAACACCGACCCGATTATCGGATTGGCGGATGACTGAGTCGGGGATACCGACTAGATTGGCCTCGGTACCCTGTGTAGAAGATCGCATGCCCGACCTGTTGTGAACGACGGAAGAAGGGCAGGAACCTTCATCACAGGCGCATGAGGTGCAAGAGATGTTCCACCGGGTCCCGATACTACACAGACCGTGGAATGACTGGGAAAAGTGACACAGTCATTGCTTGACAGCGAGACTCCTCTGGGACATGAGGAAGTTCAGGAGTATGCTGAATTCAATGAGAATCCTGTCAATTCTTGGATATCCCGAGGTATCAATCATCCACAACAAAGATGAACTCGATCATATCTACCGCAAAGCCCGGACGATAATCAAATAATCCAGCGTCACAACCTACTTTTTTCCAGTTTGGTGTTCGCCATATTTTGGAGCTTCGCCAGGAGGAACAGGATGAATCCAAAACCAACGCCAAGCATCCCTATAGGGGCTCTAGTAAATCAGGAGACTTTAACGGCCACATTAAAGAGCTTTGGGGCGAATCAGCTGCTACAGCCCAAACGAGTGACGACGATGTCACATTTGTGGACGGCAAGCCCCTATCTCACGGATTGTCCCTCAACACAACACAACTCACTGATGGGCGTCTCGTGAAAATGACCAGACATCCTCCTCCAGGCTGGTACGACGACGACAACAGGAACAATCCGGAGAATGAGATGGATGGAGGTGAACGGACGGGGTTAGTTGACTCCATTGGGATTCCGTTCTCTAGTCTGGTGATAGCGGCAGTCTTATTTTCGCGATCCAGGCACTGGCATCGGTTTCTTGACCATATCGAAGATAATCCTATTCGCAAACCCGGAGATCCTATCCTTATAGAATCCTTTTTAAAGGTGTGAGATTGGCAATTCCGCCTACAAGTAATTCGCTCGGTGTCTTCAACCGACCCGTCTCTGGACCTCAATTGGATAACCGACCCGGGAGACACAGCAATTGCCCTTCTCTGACTGAAGCTGATGTAGTGAGACCGACTTACTTCCCAGAGTCGCAGGCACGCTTTTCTGATATTCACACTTTTTACCGCCGTGGCGATGCGACTAGAGCAACAAAATTTTTCAGTGTGCAGTGCAAGAGAGTCGGCTCTGAGAGTCAGCCATCTGCCTAGGAGGACGCTGTCGACCAGTTAACCGAGTACTGGAGCAAACACGCACGGTAGATGTCGACCAGCAAAATGGCACTTCTGTGTATGGAATAGCTACTGTCGGAAAGATGATGCGGGTTTACAAGTACGACGATGTGAACCAGCATATTCTCAGCTAGGCAACACGCGGGTTCCGACGGGGCGAACCCTGGGATTTAGAAACGGATGCATTTGGATCACATATAACGGGATTCTCCCAAGTCCAAAGAAAGCTCTAGATCGGGTTCAAAATCTCATGGGAAAGCTTCAGGAATTCTATCTTAGTCGGGCGCGGGTTATCTTCTGCACGGCAAGCACGGCCGGGCGGCACATACTCTGGAAGTTCCAAGCGAAGTACGTGCTGATTGAGGAGGCTTCCCAGATCCCTGAGTCGACCTGCCTTATCCCAATAATGTCTAGCTATGGCAGCCTTAACAAGGTCATCATGAGCGGTGACACCGCTCAGCTACCTCCCACCGTGATTTCTCATAATGAAAACGAATATATCCAATTATCCACTCTACAAGCTGTCTCTATTCGAGAGGATGATCCTATTAGAGCTTCTAGAGACACAAATGAAGCTGCATCACCGCATGGCACCCGGTATTTGCAAAGTCGTCAGTGACGAGTTCTATAATAGGAAATTACGAACCGACAAGTCTTATGATAACAGGTGGTAATCCAAAAAGATCTCCGAATTTATCACCGGTCCCTACAGCTGCGCCTTAGGGGAATCATTCTTCTTCTCTATATCCGGGTCGAGCGTGCGCAAGCGAAAGGCAGGAACGTCGGTATTAAATCCCGAATATGTAAGCTTTATCGGCGGGCTCGTTAATGAACTTCTCGAGAAATTCCCTAACCTACCACAGGACTACATTTTATTGCTCTTGTTCTACACGGAGGAGCGTCGAATTTTAGCGACCTGCTTCAAAAGCTCGGTCGACCTGGTGTTCGTGTCGCAAGTGTGACTCCTCTCAAGGGTCGGAGAGCTCCATAGTGACTGTCAAGCATCAGACCAGGTTATCTATGGTCTTGACTTTATCATCGACAGAAAGAGAAGCTGCGTGGCTCTAAGCCGTGCCCAACACTGCCTTGTTATTGTAGGGGACGAGAGGATGGGCTTGAGCAGCCAACGTGATCCCGGAAATCAAGGATTTCTGAAAGCCATGGAGGCAAATAATCTTATAACTACATATATATGTATGTATTGATCAATTCCTAAGTTCCTGAATAGGGGTAGCCCGTGATATCTTTCAGAAAGGTCTTGTCCACATATGTATGTTGTATACCGCGCATTACCATATTTTTGTATTTAGTTATAAATAATACACACATCGATTAATACCAGTCGTTTCAAACACAACGCTGGTATAATGATATCAGGTCGCAAGAAAAAGACCCCCAAAACTCGCTCGCTACAAAAAAGAACTAGATCAAACACACCTCGACACAGGCAAACAACTTCAGCTAACAGAAAATGAAATATCCACACGGGAGATTTTAGAACCGATTAAAATCCCGCTTGACGCTGCTCCCATCCATCTCACTGATTGGGCTGCTGCCCAGCTCAGCACTCCCTTCATCACCAACCAACTCAACAACATGAGATCCAGGGGGAGGTCTGAATGGGCGCGGCGCTTTTTCTAATGTTTTCTCCGTAACCGCTGTAGTACCACTGATTGACGATGCAGTGGCATCCGCCTCATGGGGTCCGTAACCACCGTGCTGGTTAGCAGCAGCGACGATCTTCTTGTTCCTCTTTCGCATGAAGATGAAAACCAATGCAACAATAATGGCGACACCGGCCACGACGCCAATCACAACGCCTGCAATGGCACCACCGGATAGTGCTGTGTTAGAGGAGCCGCTGTTGGCATTGGCTGCAGACGCTGCGGCGGACTCGGTGGGGGTTGCGGTTGCGGTTGCGGATTCGGATGTCGAAGATGCAGACGAAGATGTGGATGTGGATGTGGATGTCGCCGATGTAGAGGTCGATGTTGAAGCGGCCGTAGAGGCTTGTTCTTCGTTATAAATATCCCGCTCAAGCTTGACATCGAAAGCCGAAAAGTCATTACTGGCAGTCTTCCTCCATGCTCCGCATGAATATCCCGCCCTGGAATCACACTTGGTGTCGCGGTATATGGAGAGACATAGATTGGATTCCTCAGGATCCCATGAAAACGGCTTGTCTTTTCCGAGGGGCGAAGTTGTGCAGTTCTGTGCCTTTTGGCCACGGGCGATTTCAGTAGCATCGCTTGAGTTGGTGTAGCTGAAGGTCCATGCGTTCGCCAGGGGAAGTACCCAGAGTGCGTATAGTGGTAGCATCATGGGGACGTTCTTTTGGAAAGGTGAATCCAAGCCAGAAAAAAAAAAGAAATGTGGAAATCGTTGGGATCGGAGTTTCAGCTGTTAAACGTGCGGGAGGGGGAATATGTCAGTATTATACAGGGCGCCGGGACCCTGATCGCTGATTGAATTTGAAGAATAAACCTCGTATTAAAATGAGCCTCGTCGGTGGTGGGGTTTCTTCTGGCCTATGCCTGGAGCCAGTCATAGCCCGCATTTTTGGACCCAAGGATGACTGCAACGGTCGATCTATACTGAGTGGGGGAAGTTACGGGTGAAGACCAAGGAGCTAATTTAGAATGCAGATGAACGCGGTCTCGAGCGCGTCTCCAGGGTAGTACTGCGTCGATCGCTCCCATATGAATTAGTTGGGTGGGTCGAAGGAGAATCGAACTTCTTCATCAGGCAGTCATACTACAAAACAGTCACAACTTAAACCCGATGAATAGGATCGAGAGGTATGCTCAACTTTGTGCAGCGGTTGAATGCCGTGAGTATAACGTACACCATGCAACTCCACATGCACCTAATACCTGGCTGACTATTTCCGAGAAGACGGGGTGCTGCAGTCCTGTGCCCATACTTTGTACCATCCCTGTCAGAATTATAGTCAAAATCAAGATACTTTAGCTATTTCTGTCCACATGCTGCGAAAACTACAAATTGGAATCTCAGTTGGGACCGACCTTGCCTGTGGAGAATGGTGATTGGTGCCCTATGGGCCGAATACGAGGTGATGAGCATGCGAAAAATTTAAAACCGTAAACCATTGTATTGTCCGGTATGGTGGAGAGAATCAAAGACGAATGGTAATATCTGTAAGGACGCACATAAGGAGTTTGTTCTCTTTGGTCTTTCACACGGAGTACACCATCACCATTGAATAGGGGAAAACCCACGAGACTGCCAAGAGTAGCGGGCCAAGAATGCTTGGTGGCATCGACTTGAGGAGTTGAATTGCTGACAGGGGCTCAGGTTTAATTTCCACTTACCTAAGTACATTTAGTTGCCTTGGTCTTCTCCACGGTAATTAATATTACAACAAATCAAATCTGTTGTAGTACCAGGAGTGGACGATCAATACTCCATATAGGGCCCATTATTAGGGGCCATCAGGATACCATTTTAGCACATGAATCTCGGCGCATCAAAAGATACGACATTGCAAGGTCATGACAGCAGTAAATGAAATCGATCAATCCAAATTCAATACTATTTGTGGAGGCGAGACACGTTCTGTTTCCTCTTTAGTGTAAGGCTGAGACTTTGATGCCTCAGGCATGACAATATAAATATAGACCGTTCTGTCCACGGGTGTGGACATCCGAATCAACTGGTTGTATGTCAGTTTCCCGCAATTACTTAGCGATGAAGGCTTTCAAGGTCGTAAGTCGCATCCTTGACTATTGTTGCTACCGGATATGACGTCAAAACACAGTTTCAGAGGTATGATGCGCACAAAGTCGTTGGTAGAAAAACAGTGGACTATTTTTGATGATCAATAACTACATTACTCAAGTCCACTACAGGGAGGATCTACACCTGTGAATAAATATGATATGTATTAGTGCCCCCATTTTCTAGAACCCCCAATCACGCCAAATCGAATTGAACCAGCCGAAGCCGGGCGGAGAGCATGATTGATAGGTGACGCAACGTGTACCGTACGGCACGAGGCGTGTCCAAACTTGCTCATTTGTGAATACTTTCGCTTCTGTCAAGCAAGTTAGTTTGACACTTTTGGACACTTGAGCTTAATCTTACATGGGCAATCTGTATATACAGCGATTGGTCAAGACATTGGCCTTGCAGCTCAGCGTATGCCTCTACACGTGGAGAGAGCTTATGCTTCAACATCGGAGCTCTACGGATATTCCCTTCTGGAATCTTTAGTGTGCCATTGCAATAGCCACGGTAGAGAATTGCCAGGAATCCAATCACATCGGGAGCCTTTCTCAACTTGGAGGTAAACTAGGCACGATGCAAGGTACCAGGGCAGTCGGCATCATTGATTGGCAATGCTCCTGTCCGTCGCGTGCCGGAGCTTTCCCTGGTGAACGAAAACTACCCCAGCCAGCCTGATCACTTGCCTCAATATCCGCTCAACAAAATCACCGTCGTCTGCTGGAGTAATCATTGAGCTTTATATCGCAATCTGCGACTCTGAATACCGTTGTGGTGTGTTTCGTCCTTTCCGCACTCTTCTCATTAGTGCGACAGTAGGTATGTTTCCCCGTGCCATTGATATATTGCTTTCACCGTTGCTTTCGTCGGGGGCTCTCCTTGGCCATTCGTGAGAATGGAACATTCGATCGCAGGCCGGGACTCCTCTGCGTGGATGAAGCAGTCGATGAGTCCATTGTCCGACTGGCGATTGACCTGCGAAACAGAAAATCACTTTTGACCTGCTTTCCGACAGCATGGCACCGATCAGAATAGTCCACCACACCAACGCTGCATCCCTGTCTCTCCATTCAATTGTCGAAAGATCAGGCCATAAGGGCAACTGGGCGAACAGGAACCGCGGGGTGGTGCTTGTCTTCGTCATCGTGTTTATCGTCGTAGTTGGAATCATGGCACTCTTTGCATACCGACGATGGTTGAAACGGAAAGCCGACAAGGAGTCCTATGAGACGACGCGTGATTAGTTCATCTTGTGCTCTGCGCTCTCGCCAACAAATATTACCATTCAGTCAGGCTCAGAGGCGGATGGTGTTTTTGTGACCGGGAGCTGTGTCTTGGATTTGGACTGGTGGGTTGGCTGCTTAGAGTGGGCGGTATTGTGTTGTGTGTTTGTATCTGCGTGTTGAGGTTCGACGACGTATGTTTGGCCCTTGGTAATGAATTCCTACTGTCAGTTCAATTCTGATATTATGGCATGCCTGATGTCCAAGTAAGAAGAACATGACTTCTTAATGTTAAGGGCCGATAGTAATCAATAATACGAACCTTGGTTCCGCCTGCAGCGAAATCTGATGCCTCCTTTTTGCCAAGGTGTTCTATAACGGGCTTGGTGAAGGAACACGACTAATCCGACGTCCCTCCCATCCATGGACATCGTACCTCCCAACCTATCCTTGACCTCAGGACCCTCCAACGCAGAGGTCACTTCCAATCATCAAGTTTCTCTAAGAAGGTATTGAGTTTGATCCCTCCACTTGGCTGAGTTTCATCGAGTGCGCAAATTGTCATACTGGCCCCGCAAGGCCTTGCGGTGCCGCCAAAACTATGCCTCGAAGTCATAGAACAACGCATCCGTTTCCACTGGCAAAGTAATGTCCATTTCACTACTCACTCCTAGCTGCATAGGTTCATGGAGACCAAGGAAAACACGCAACTGGCCGTATGAAAGAGGCTACAGGAAAGAGCCAAACAAAGCCATCACAAAGAGGTGAAGAGAGGCCCACGGGTCTGGAAACGTGTGAGCAAGCAGTAGGCGCCTCAGTGCGACATCTAATCTTCGAGTGGATGTACCCTTTCAGGTCTACCGTATCCGTTCTATGTCGACTAGTCTATCGATGCAGGCTAAATGGATGAAACAAATGTGTATCTCACTTCCCGTGCATATCAGGGGTTCTACAGATCCAGACTTGCCCTGTGCAACAAGAAGGACCAGCAACATAAGGCTAGAGCTAGCCTGCAGATACCCCTTCCAAGTCGAACGTAATATATTTTATGTCTTGATTGATTGCACCAGATGAAGAAATTGAAAGAGAAGGGAAAATCAAGCAGTCCTAAATCATCTCATCCAGGATGGCAAAGAATTATCCTGCATCGAAGATCCATGTCAAGTGTGGCCGGAAGGCCCTGTGAGTCGGAGGAGAACGCCTCTGTGAGAATCACACACATCATGGCATGGCATCTAGTCCAGATGTCTAAGGACATAGAGGAGTACACCATGTCCAGTGATCTGCATAATTTCCACCGCACAAGAAGATATCGCGGTGAGCTGAGCGCGATGTTGGAGCTCAATATCCCGCTGGACAAATTTTCCATTCTCGTCGCCAGCTTATATCCTGGAGGAACGAGCTGAGTGACAGATTTGATCGCTGCTGGAAAATCCTGGGGTATGTCGTGGACTCCCTATATGCAGTCCTGGGAGAAGGGCCTTGAATTCTTCGTCTCCTCGGAAAACGAAGCTATCATATATGACAGTGGGACGCCGACAGGGACGAGACCAAGACCCAACGGCCTCAGGCTGGCTCAACAATGCTCCTCCTTACGCCTTGCGCAAAGTACCAAAGCCCGTGCTCCAATCCAAGTAAAGGTCATCTGGGACAGGAAGCACAACACACACGGGAACATGGATCTATGCCCCATCCTCGCAGGTATCGCCCACGAAGGGAAAGTGAGTGCTCCCTCCAACGGACCAGACGGTGACACAAGATCCTAGAGCATGAAGGTACTGCAAGGGTATTCTCAGACCCGGCTAACTCGAATTTCGTGATTCGGGTGCTTCTGGATGTCCATGATTTCCGGAATGGGGAGGTCTATGAAACGACTGAACTACCACCGGTGTACTGAATAGCACCTTTTTGATGCCAACGACACCTCAACGTGTTGGACTGGCCTTTATTGAGGAACCTTCAACATAATTGCTCGGGTTCATTTTAGTTTTATCTGTGACTTCTACTGTTATTGTTTCTTCTTGTTTTCTTCGTTGTCTCTTTTTCTTCCCCCGACTCGATGAGTCGCTTCAGATCGTACAAGCCACATGTGCAGACTCTTATGATATAAGCAGAGGCCACGAAGTTCATCATCTTGTCATTCATATCAATCGGATATATACTCTTTTACCGGCGATACGAATTTTATAGCACGCCGCACAAAGACTTTGAATAATTATTCTAGTTATCTCTAATGTCCCTACGGCAACATCGGTTCATATCAAATATAGCAAACCCCAGGTCTTATACTCACCATAGGATCTTGTGGAGAATCAACGGAAAGAGAGGGGTATAATTCTTCCACCAATCACCGATCCCCGGCACTTCTATCGCCCTCGCGGCTCCACTAAAAGCCATCCCGTCCATGCCAACGCCAATCGTCTTTCCCGGTAGCAAGATATCAAGCCATATACCCTGAGCCAAGACTACCCTTGAATGGATGGAGAAACTTGTGCCGGCAATATTTCCACCCAACGATACCCCGTATCCCCCGCCATCAATTCCCCCAATTCGTTCCCCAGTCCCACACTGGGGCCCCCGGACTGTGAGCTCGGCAAGCCTGAAGGGCTATCAACATGACGAGATGACATTGAAGCCACTTGATTGCTTATGATGCTTAAATTTCCGCTTCGCGTTAGACCGATTGATCGCTAGGTCAAGTATAAATCCCGATGCCACCGTAGCTCAATGGCTCTTTTGCTTTCTTTTTTCTGCTTCTTTGTGTTACGAAGACTGCTCTTGGGGTTAATCTTGATTCTGTTGATAAATTGATTAGGGAGATCATCCAGTCTTCTTCAATATGGGTTTCGTCAACTTCAAGAACTACCGGGTCTACATCCTGACCTCGGTAGCCTATCTGGGCTCCCTACTCTTCGGTGAGTGGGTTTGGTCAGTCCGGCTACAGAATGTTACTGACACATGCTCTTTCTAGGCTATGACACGGGTGTTATGGGCTCAGTCCTGGCTCTTTCGAGTTTCAAAAAGGACTTCGGCCTCCCCGTCGAGTCATCTGGATTCAGCGACGAGAAGAACGCCCACATATCCTCCAATGTGGTGTCGCTACTAACAGCAGGATGTTTCTTCGGATCTATATTTGCTGCTTGCATGAACGACAGACTCGGCCGGAGATACTCGCTGATGATCCTTGCTCTGATTTTCCTGGTTGGAGCAGCAGTCCAGGTTGCAGCTCACCATGAGATTGGCATGATCTATGGCGGACGTGTTATCGCCGGCTTCGGTATCGGTGGCATGTCTAGTATCACCCCCGTGTTTGTCAGTGAGAACTGCCCTCCGGCGACCCGTGGCCGTATTGCCGGTCTTTTCCAGGAGTTCCTGGTTATTGGTAGTACCTTCGCCTACTGGCTGAACTACGGCGTTGCGCTTCATATTCCCGAGGGTACAAGTCAATGGCGTATTCCAGTTGGCATCCAGCTTGTCCCCGGTGGTCTGATGCTCATCGGACTATTCTTCCTTAAGGAATCCCCTCGTTGGTTGATGACGAAGGGCCGCCGTGATGAGGCACTCAAGTCCCTCGCTTACATTCGTAACGAGCCGGAAACCAGTGAGGCTATTCAAGTCGAGTTCGCCGAAATTTCGGCCGCTATCCACGAGGAAATGCAGGCTACCGAGGGTCTGACGTGGAGGGAATGTCTGAAGCCGAGCAACCGATACCGCTTCTTCCTCGCATTCGTCCTGATGTTCTGGCAGCAGTTTTCCGGCACAAACAGCATTGGATACTATGCTCCCCAGATCTTTGCAAGTGTGAGTACACCACAATTTCTCTATACTATGACATCTCCCCCCTTCTCTGAACTAGCGAGACTAACATTCTCCAATATTGCAGGTCGGATTGAGCAAAACGGACTCCTCATTGTTTGCTACTGGTATCTACGGAACAGTCAAGGTGGTTGCAACAGCCGTCTTCCTGATCGTCGGTATCGATCGCTGGGGCCGAAAGAAGAGTTTGATTGGTGGTGCTGCTTGGATGGCTAGCATGATGTTCATCATTGGAGCAGTTTTGGCTACCAATCCCCCTAATACGGAGGCCACATCCGTCTCATCTGCTTCTACCGCTATGGTTGCGATGATCTATCTATATGTGATCGGATACTCAGCATCCTGGGGACCAGTTCCTTGGGTGTATCTTGGCGAGGCGAGTTATTTACTCTAATGTGTATCCTTAACTATTGTATTCGACTAACATTGTTTGCTCTAACAGATCTTCCCAACCCGTCTTCGTGCTTATGGTGTCGGTTTCGGTGCTGCCACGCAATGGCTGTTCAACTTCGTCATCACTGAGATTACCCCTCGGGCTATCAATAAGATTGGCTGGAAGACTTTCCTCATGTTTGCAATCTTCTGCTTTGCCATGGGCACCTTCGTCATCGTATTCTTCAAAGAAACTAAGGGCCGGACCCTGGAGGAGATGGATCTCATTTTCGGTGCCGTTGATGAACAGCAGAGACGTGCTGATGTGGAACACACCTTACAAAAGACTCAAATTATGCATGAAGAGCATGCTGAGACCATGGAGAGTGCGAAAACTACAGAGACTTCAGAGACTAGAGAGCACAAAGAGTGAACTGGATGATAGAGTCATACATCTCCTGTATTGAGATATACATGGATCCACGAATGGTACAAAATACATACGTAGATGAACATGAACATTTTACATGACCATCTGACAGGGATTTCGAAGTTGGAATACAATAGAAGCTCGTATACCCTCTAGCATACTATACCTCAGCGCAGACGGCCCCACAATAAATTCCGCGGGGAACTTCGAAATTTGCCCCTCACGCGTCAATCTCTCTTTTCGGCACGCGTTGACACTGACAATCTAGATGGGATCACGCGACGAAACATGCGCTTCTTTGCGCGCCCAGATCACTGCGACAGAAGCACAGCTTGCTGGGCTGAAACGCGACCTCGCAAACGCCGAACAAGCGGCGCGATCGGAGACCGCAACAACCGCAGAAATCCGGCCTGAGGACCGGAATGGCGAAGGAAGACGATGGCCGATGCTTCGGGAAGAATACAAACGATACGGACGACAAATGATTGTTTCACAAGTGGGTCTCAAAGGTAAGTTACGGCTTTGTTTTGGCGGAAATTTGTGGTTACTCCCCTTGAGTAGTGTGACTGATCGCGATTTCAATGAATGCACAGGTCAACTGAAGCTCCGATCGGCCAAGGTTTTGCTTGTTGGAGCTGGAGGACTGGGATGTCCAGCTGCGCAATATCTTGCTGGTACTGGCGTTGGCACTATTGGGCTCATCGATGGGGATACAGTCGAGGTGTCGAATCTCCATCGCCAAGTGCTACACCGAACAAAAAATGTTGGGAAGTACAAAGTGGACAGTGCAATTGAGTCCTTGCGAGAGTGAGTGCATCCGGATAGGGCTATTGAGCTAGGCGCTGACGATTTCTCGTGACATTCGCCAGGCTGAATCCGCATCCCACGTATATTGCCCATCGAACACACCTCACGCCCGAGGCAGCACCCGCTGTCTTCCAGAACTATGATCTTATTCTCGATTGTACTGATAACCCGGCGACGCGTTATCTGATCTCGGACACTGCAGTTCTTCTCGGAAAACCATTGGTGTCTGCGTCCGCCTTGCGCACCGAGGGCCAGCTGATGGTGTTGAACAACCCGCCCCGCGCACCGGGCGACAAGACTGGAGGGCCGTGCTATCGGTGCGTTTTCCCGAAACCACCACCGGCTGATAGCGTGGTCAGCTGTGCGGACGGGGGTATTTTAGGTCCGGTTGTTGGGACGATGGGCGTCTTGCAAGCCCTGGAGGCGATCAAGGTTATCACTGGACCTGAAATTGATGGAGGTTCAGACGTGACCACAGCTCGCCCACGGGATCCCCCATCTCTGCATATCTTCTCTGCCTACTCATCGCCCCTAGTCCGCACAATTCGTCTTCGTTCACGCCGGGCCAATTGTGCTGTCTGCTCTGTTGAGGCAGCTGTTACACTGGATACAATCAAATCAGGGTCAACGGACTATGTGTTCTTTTGTGGGTCCGCAAACTTGCCCTCCCTACTTGGTCCCGAGGAACGTATCTCTGCTCTAGAATACAACCAAAGACGCTCAATTGTCACTTCCGATTCGTCGCAGCCCCACACGATAATTGACGTCCGAGACGAAGCTCAATTTGGAATATGCAGCCTGGAAAATAGCATCAACATTCCTATCTCGAAGATCCTTTCTTCGGGCTATTCTGCTCGGTTACAGGGGGCCGATAATGAGCAACAAACTGCACAAGTACCTTCTTGGTTGCCATCCGAGGTTGTCTCGTCGGAGTCTACGAACCCAATCTACGTTGTCTGCCGTCTAGGGAACGACTCGCAGATTGTCGTCAAGAAAATGAAGGAGCTAGGACTAGATCAGCATGGGAAAAGATTCATTGGTGACATTCGCGGAGGACTACGATCATGGAGAGAACAAGTGGATTCCTCCTTTCCCGAATACTAAACGAATCAGGCCGCTAGATTCTCACATGAAACGTCTGTCCGAAAGATATCCCTTCCTTCTCCTATCACCTGCCAGCCTCCAGGACCCGCCTCAGAGTCAGTTAGTGGCCCTGTGATGATTACCAAATAACGGCTCTATCTATATCCACCACCAATCAGTGCGAACCCGGCCCTCATCGAGGTCACCGAGTGCCTCGAACACAGCACGGGTGACGTCGATGTCAAACTCCCCGCATCCCTCACAACGATCCACGAGAGTGACATCTGCGCCCCTGTCACCCCGTTGTATATGGATTGGCCGACCACAAAGTGGATTGTGGTTGGGATTGCCGTCTACGTTCTCGCGGTCATAGACAATATGAGACACGGCGCAAACGTGGTCTCCCCCGTTATTGTACCAGCCGCATGCTCCAAGCCCGGTATGGTACCATGTTAGGTCACCACCAAAAGCCTGGGCTACGGCGGGACTGTGTGTGTTATTCCACTGGCTTGGACTGGGAGCACAGTTAGCATGGTTGATCGTGGATTGTGGGAACAGGAAGAGGAATGAAAGGACGGGCAAGTTCGGGTCTGTCTAAATACTTGACAAGGGCTTGAGAAGTGATGGTTTCATCAGGATCCATGGGAGCCCCAATGGCTAATCCCATAAAGAGGAATGCCATCACGGTGATGGACTTGCAGTCGAAGATTGTGCTAGACATCGTTATCAGGTCCTCTCTTCTTGCTTTCCAGCAGAGATGGTGGTTTTGGCAGTCAATTCCAAGCTGAAGTTGGGGAAGTTTGAACCACCGCCTCGAATTCGTTCGGTGTTTTATATCATGTTTCCAGGAAGGTTTCTTGTGCTTGAACGCTGGGTATTTATGCTCTTCAAAATGCCGCGGAGTATCAGAAGAAATAAATAAATCGGAGTATCTGAAATCACCGGAGTGGATGGAGTGTTTTTGAGGGAATTTTTGTCTGTGGCTGTCTATATATTGGGAAGATAGAAATGGAGCAGCCCTCATTTTGGACATTGTCGTCTACTCAATTATATTCATATTCTAGTGCCATCTTACGTTAGAAATCTCCCGAGAAGACCGAGAGTGCAGACCCCAGGACCTTTCGAGCTTACAATTTACGAAAAGTCGGAAGGTCGGAGGAAGCAAAATAACCCTAAAAGGAAGGATACACTCGGCGATTCATTCGGCATAGAATACACTCCACCTCGGCACATAGGACAGCTTTAGATAGTGGTTTCAACTAATCATAGGTGGTGGACCTCTCCGTCACATATAAATAAGTAGTTCGGGCCTTCTACTATGTACAGTGGCATTTCATGAGTATTTGCACCCCAGTACTTCCAAAGATTGACCGCTCTTTCTATACCGCCTGCTTAATTACGGCTAGTATAGACCCTGCGCAGCGCGAATATGAAGTTTTGACCAGCAGAAAAGAAGTGGGTCTCGGGCCTTCCGGAGTACTGGGGTGCAAATACTCATGAAACATGAGTGTACTTAGGTAAATTCACACCTTGGAGCTGGGTTGTTATATATCTGCCCTAAATAATGTCCGCCTAGGGATTAATCTCATGGAGGTTTAACCATCCCCCATTGTTTGTACCCTGCAAAGGCTCCTTCCTGCAGAATATCCAAGGGCTTCTCGTAAAACTGCGGAGCCACTTCGGCAGACCACGCCATATGGCCGTCCTGCATACCTTCAGCCTCGATCCGAACCTGCGGGCAACCTAGGATAGATGCCGGACTAGACGCGGGATCTACGGGAGAACTGGAAACTGAGATCCCTTTGTATGTATATTTCGCTTGGCAAGAGTGAAAAAAGGTGGCTAGCTTTCAATTTCGTTTGAACCCAAGTGTGCCGTATGGGACAACGACATTATCCATCCTTATAATCAGATCGTATGGGTTTTAGCCATGGCTTATTGAATTCTTAGTGAAAGTAATACGAGAAGCAGTGTTTAACCAGATCTTGTTCAGATAGCCTATGGTAAAATGTTAATTGAGGAGAAAACAAACGTATACCTCCATAACTCGCATAATTCTGTTTGTCGAAAATTGAGAGCATGGGGTTGTAGCGATTACGCCTTTTGGGATCTAAGAGTTTGCTATACACACACAAGTTTAGTCTTTAAAATATAGTTTGAGGGAGATTCTAAGGATGAAAGCACTCACCACCAGCCAATCCATACCCCCAGAGATACCTACGCCGTCAATAACGGAGCATGGAGCAATATTCCATCTTCGATGCCCTAGTTCTCCCAAATTTAACGCCTCTGATATCTCCACCGGGCTCTTTGCTCCCTCTAGATCCTGTTTGTTGGCAAACACCAGAAGAGGAACATCGCGGAGCTCACGCAAGTATTCGAAATCAAGCAAGAACTTGAGTTCGTTGGCGGCGTGATCTAGTCGAGTAACGTCTGCGGAGTCGACAACAAATATGATCGCGGTGGTCTTGGCGAGATAAACGCCCCACGCTGAACGCAACTTGTCTCTTCCTCCTTTATCCTAGACAGCAGACAGGTCAGTGATGATTCTTTACATAAGTGTGAAGTTCATCCGGGAGCCTGATGGAAAATCATACCCAAAAAACGAAGTTCATGCCTCCATGAGTTAATGACTCGATGTTAAGTCCTACTGTGGGCACCGTTTCAATAGGACCAGGACCGTAGTCCTAAAGACACTCGTATTTAGCATTCACCAATAAAAACTGTCCATAGTCAAATTACTTTCAGCTGTGAATATAGAAGTGTAGTCTTTCCTGAATTAAACTGATTAAACAGAGCGTGGAGGTCAGCACCGGCACCTGCAAATATCCCAGACTTGATGCGAAGAACTTATAGCATACCGGTCCAGCAATAAGTATTTGATATTCCTTCTTCTGCCAAAGCGAAGATAGTGGCAATGATACCATGGAGCCCATGTCTATGTTCTCGGAAGGCGAGGAGAGACTAAATAACTAACGGTGCGATTTTATTCAGTGACCTTGATACCTAGAAGGCGGGCAGGCAGAAATATGGAGAAGCATTAGGGGCACGCCTTTCTTCACTTGCACACCCCCTTCCACTACCGCCTTCCTGGAATAGCTCTACAGTCTGGTATACTCGGCCTTTTATTGGTGGATACTGACCGGCAGAATCTGGGGTGCTCAAACTTTTGCTATGTCACTGTACATTGATCACCCTTTCAACATTTGTTATCTTGAATTGTCAACTCGGATCACCAGCATCATAAAAATCCACCTGAAAACATCTTTTAGTTGGCAGCCTGCAAGGCTAATTGATGAACTGAGAGCAAATTGGAGACTTGGTCAGTGCTGAAGCTGCAGCCGACCTCTTTACGGAACCAGTCGCGGAACTCGATGGCCACCAGCGAGTCTCCACCGTGATCTGCAATTGACTTGCTTTTATCCACATCTTCCGCCGCCACCCCCAAGATGCTGACAATTTGCTGTGAGAGAGCTGCTGTGATGGTAGAAACCCGTTCTTCTAGAGACTGACACCGGGGAAGAGTCAGTGATAGGGGCTCAGACGTCTGCGGCACACCGGCAGCAGGGAGCCCACGAGAGCTGTCGTCGTTGCGAGATGGAATCAAGGAAGAGCGCAGGTGGGAGAGACTAGGCTCCAAGGTGGCAAAATCAGCCTTCGTCCAGGTGGATGGCGGTGCCCATCCGATGGCAATTTGGCTGTCAGTCCAGCTCTGGATAGGCTTCGACATTGTGTAGCTGACCAAAGCATACAAGGCTGGGAGCGGAACTTTGCCTAGCCCGAGCCGTCCAACGTGGGCCAATCTCGCAGGCTTCTCATAAATAGAGCCAGCTCCTTGGACTGCTCCCAAATCCAGGGAATACGTAGGCTGGCCAAGACTTGTCCGCCAGCGAGCAAAAGCGTCCTGGAAGGTCGATGCGGCTGCATAATTCGCCTGGCCCGGACTTCCTAGGAGTCCGACATATGACGACAGAAGTACAAAGAAGTCGAGTTGCTGGCCTTCAAAGCTATGGTGAAGATTGTAGCTGCCAGCTAGCTTGGGCTGCAGTACCTGTTGGAGATCGTCGAGCGACATATTCTCGAAGCTTCCATCCTGCAGAACACGTTAATATACTTCCTCCAAAGATTCAATAGAGTTAGTGACTTACTCGAAGTGTGAGCCCGGAATGGATGATGCCGCGAATGGGAGGAAGGTTGTCTTTGCAGTACGCAAGGATGGATTGTAGTTGAAGGCGATTCCCAACGTCACAGGCGAGCGCGTGAAGTTTGACTCCAATTTGAGCCAACTCCTCAACTAATCCCTTAGTCAAAGGCTTGTCAGCACCAGAGGGTGAGACGGCGACAAGGAATTTAGCACCGCATCGGGCCATCCAGGCACAAAGTGAACGCCCAACGCCCCCCTGCCCGCCCACTATGAGATAAGTGACATCTGGATGTAGCTGTGCTACAGGGGTGCTGCGGGGAACGACCTAAATGTGGCTCAGAAAATTGCTACCAAGACTGCAGAGAATGAAACAAACCTTGACCATGTCATTCGGGCCGTGGGACAACACCACCTTGCCCATAGTGTGTCCCTTTTGCATCAATCGCAAAACCTCTTCCAAGTCTGTAATCGAGCGGATATTGAGTGGAAACGCTGGCCTCACAACGCGTTCAGTAAGCAGTTGATGGACATGGGAAAATACTTCGGCCATGCGGTGAGGTTTCTGACATGCCAGCTGAACGAGGTCGACCGCAGAAAACGATATGGACTTTATGAAGGGGCCCAAGTCTAGTCGGGCGTGAGCAAGGATATCGTTCTTGCCAATTTCCACCAAACGGCCCAATGGTGCCAACACGTCGAGCGAATGCTGCAGAAGTGATGCTGCCAAGGCGTTGAGAACCACATCAACCCCGCGACCATTGGTCACTGATTTGATCTGACTGTCAAAGTCCTTGGATCGACTGGAGAATATGTGAGATTCGAGTAGTCCATACTGTGTGACCAAGAGTTGTTTTTTCTTTTCTGAGCCGACAGTTGTGAATACTGTTGCACCAAGATAAGATGTAAGGCTAGCATGATAGCTGCTTGGCCAACCCCTCCAGCACCGGAGTGGATCAGAACGGTGTCTCCGGTACGCAACCGCGCCTCATTTACCAAGCAGTGATATGCAGTGCAGTAGGCAATGGGGATCGCCGCTGCCTCCTCGAATGAAACACCAAGGGGAATGTGTTTCGTCCACAGCCCACGGCATCGAACATGGCTGGAATATCGGGGCACATGCCATGTGTACACCCTGTCTCCTTCGGAAAATGTTTTTCGGAGCTTCTGGCCTACTTTTATGACCACAGCAGCGCACTCGGCGACGTTTTCATCTGGCGTTTGATTTAGTGACACCACAATGTCACGAAAGTTGACCCCAGATGCCTTGACCTCAATCTGCAATTCATCTTCACCCATAGGCGCATTGTGGGCAAGACTGTCGCTAAAGTATAGCCCTTGCAGACTGCCCGTGTCTCTAGTAGCCAGAGACAGAGGTCTATCTTTCTGGTGAAAGCATTTCGTTTCCGGCGAAGCAATCTGACCTGCCCTTGAGTGAGATCGAACAAATTCCGTGGCAGTCTCGTCTTCTACCAGACGTGGTACAAGCCACTGGCCCCGGCGTTCAGTCCATTCTAAGTCTTGTATGCTCGGGCGAGACAAAAGCTGCCGAAGGAATCCCCAGAGAGATTTTGCTAGGTATTGAGGCTGTGGTCTGTTGCTCGGGTCGAGGTCCAGGGTGATGATAGGCACATGGGGATTCTCACGGCGTATCATTCGAGCAAGGCCCACGGATACACTAGATTGAGGATTCAGGCACTCGTCTGTGGCCCCAACTGTCACCCATATGATCTTTCTAGCAATCTTCATCGTATGCTTGAGAGCATCCAGGCCTGCTTGGTTCAGTTCACAGAGCAAGGACCTGTCGGGATCTGTAAATAGGATGCATGTCCGGTCCTGCAGCCTGGAATCTCCCAGTGACAGAATGGATACTTTCTCTGGGGACGCTAGTGAACGCATGTGATTGATAACACTATACCCCATGCTTTCATGCAAACGTGACAATTGATCCTCTGTTAACGCCACAGCAATTACCGCCTCTCCTATTGAAGGTGACTTCTCCAACGCAGTGGTGACGATCAAGGCATCTGTCTGCTCTTCCGCAGCCGGATAGGAATGCATAATTGCGTCCAAGCCCGTGACGCCCGTGCGTTTCAGTGTCTTAGACCACTCCTCTTCTGTCAGCAATGGAGTATCTTTGTTGCGCTCTGACGCCCCCCGCCACTATCCAGGCAATGTGCCAAAGACAAACGAGCGATGAACGGTTGGTCTGGTACTTTCTAAGAGCAGCAATTTTCCTCCTGGCTTGAGCAGACCGCGCACATGCTTAGCTGTCTCTTCAATGTAGGTGGTGGCATGTAGAACGTTGGCTGCAATGATCAGGTCGTAGTTTCCTGCCTCAAATCCTTGCTTTGTTGGCTCCTCTTCGATGTTCAGTTTCTGAAAGCTCATCAAGTCTTTCCAGTCACCAAGCTTTCGCTCTGCATTGGCAAAGAATCCCGTAGAGATATCCGTGAAGGTATAATGGCTGAAAAGCCTTCTGCGGTGTTGGGTCAATGCTTGCAAGATAGGTAGTGTGGCGCCCCCTGTACCGCCGCCGATTTCCAGGATACGGAGATCTGGAGACTTCAAGCCCATCATCCGCGCATACTCGGCTGCTTGCACAGCACATCCTTGCATACTTTCGTCGTCCTCGTACAGACGATAGAGAAGATTGCCCTCCACCATCAAGGACAGCGGATCTTGGTCCCCTTTAAGAATAGAGGAAAGACTCGCTCCGATCTGGCAGATCATTCTTCCTTCAGCGTTTGAATATTTTACCTGGTCCAGGGCATCATCTGTCATCTCGACTGAACAAAGATTTGCTTGGACTTGCAGCCAGTTAAGATAAAGCCTCTGATAGGTGTTCATTCTCTGCACGTCTTCATCCGTGACCTCCTTTACAGCAGCATTTGCGTAATATTGGCAGACATCGCAGAGCCGAGTCAGACTAGCCGCGACAGAGACGGGCTGCAGGGCTGAGTTGCAGAGGTCCTCCACGACGGCACCAGGCAGAAAATTGGGGTCAATTATCATGGCTTGCTTTTGGCATGTCTTGGCCTGTTCAGGTTCCTCATTCTGGTTTGAGAATATCTCCAGCGATTTTGCTTCCACGCCCCGTAGCGAGAATAAGAGACCATTGTTTCCCAAATCACCACAAGTAGTCTCGATATCCGCGCTGAATGTCTGCCCATACTGCTTATGGGCTCGAGACGTAACGTGTAAGATGCTTGGAGGCACGTCGCTGCCATTCACCCGAATTGATGCCTCGTTGATAAATGTCGGAAGGATAGGGCCGTGAATCAGGTCCTCCGATCCGATGGCACCGAGCATCGTCTGCAAACAAGCATCGAAGGTAGCTGGAGGAAGACTGACTTTATACTCGCTTTCCGGGACTGGGCAGGCAATATCGGCACTACAAAAGCCTCGTCCTGCAGACAGTCGGCTCAGGGCTCGAAATGAATCTGTATACTCAACTCCCACTTGACTCAGGCTATGGTACCATTGGTCAGGGTTGATTGATGGCAGTCTTTGTTTGTCGAACTGGCGATCCAGCCCGATCGATGCGCCTGGTCCGATGTCACCAAAATTGACTGTCACAAATCCGCGACAATTTTCTACCACATCTTTGTGATCGGAGCAAGAGTGGATGACAAACTCCTGCCGGCGAGCCAGATCTCGCCCGGTCGTTCCAGTAGCTGGTCGTAAAGCGAGCATGATTTCCACAGGAGACCCTGAGCTTGGGAGTATCAGCGATCGACTTAGCGACACTTGATGTAAGTCAATACAACAAGCCAGGCCATCCTTGGCAGACACGGGAGCGGCTATATATGCTGCTTCAATGGCCATTGCCATGTAAGCGGTAGCAGGGAAAACTGTATCCCCGCCAATTTGATGCCCTGTCAGCCATGGAAGCCACGAAATACTGACATGATTCCGCCAGCGAGGCTCCAACGAGCTCGACTCCGGGCTGAGAACTCCCAGAAGTTCATGTGGACGATCTGTGCGGTTTCTGTAGTTTTGGCTCAAGCGGCTCTCGTGCCAGAAGGAATTTGAGTGATCCCAGGGATACGACGGAAGATCGAAAAGGCAATGCAGGCGGTCCGCCGGACGTGACCAGATATTCACCTCGCCCATATTTATTTCAGCACCATTCTCAAATATGCTAGAGGCAAGCTTCAGCATACCGCGGCTGGCTGACTCGTTGCGATTCAATGATGGGACATAACGCACGTCTACATTGTGCGCTTTGAGAATTTGCTTAATGGGACCCTTTAAGGCTGCGTGTGGGCCAATCTCAATCAGCAAATTAGTGCCTGAGCTCAGGAGGCTTCCCACCGCAGTCGAGAAAAGGACTGGCGAAACCAGGTTGTTGACCCAATACTGCGCATCCAGTTCTGTGCCGTCCATAATCTTTCCGGTTGCACTCGAATGAAATGGAATGACAGGATTCGCGCTTGGGGCGCCCATCATCGCCAGAGCATTAAGATAGTCGTTAGCCACGCGCCGAACATGATGTGAATGATATGCCACATCGACAACCAGTCTCCGGAAAAAGATGCCATCACTTTCAAGTCGCTCTTGAAGATCATCGACAGCAGCTGTGTCCCCAGATATGGTCACCCCCTCCGGACTGTTCACGCAGGCTATTGTGGCCAACCCAGTAGACACAGGCAATTTAGAGAGATATATTTCCATTGCCTGTGGGCCTAAGCCCACAGCAATCATGGAGCCTTTGAGGCTTCCATCTTTGGCAAGTTTTCCTGCCACGGAGCCTCGAGCCCAAGCGATGAGCATGGCATTGTCGAACGAAATGGCTTTGCACGCATAGGCAGCAGCGATTTCGCCGCTGGAGTGACCGGTCACAGCACTGGGATGAATATTCCACGAGGCTAGAAGGTCGACTAGTGCTAGCTGAATTGCTGTACATGCCGGTTGTGCAATGTTGGCTCTGTTCAGGTTGGTCTCTTCGGGTGACTTGAGCAACTCCTCAGTCAAGCGCCAATCCACACCCAGGTCAGTTAGGCACTTTTCAGCTGCGGAAATAGAGCTTCGAAAGATAATGTTGGTCTCCCACAGCTCTCGGCCCATTCTAGCCCACTGCGCTCCTTGTCCCGTAAAGACAAATCCAAAACTGGGCCTTTTGCCTGTGTGGGAGAAAGTCACAGCGCTTAGATTTTGATGTAGCTCAGAAACCGAGTTGGCGATTACTGCTGCTCGCCACGGGAATGATGATCGCCGACAATTAAGTGTATAGGCTAGAGACTGAAGGAAACTGGGGGACACTTTGTCACAAACAGGGACTTTCTCCAAATATTGCTGCAATTGCTTAGCCATGTGGCGAGCTGGCTCAGCCGATCGAGCGGAAAGAACAAAGACTTGAGGTTGAACCGTATTTGTCATGATTTGTTGTTGACTAGGCATTGCGTTCTCAACTGGTGTAAAGCGGTTCGTACCTTCACCATCGCGGAGTTGATCCAGAATTATATGCACGTTCGTCCCGCCGAATCCAAAACTGTTCAAGGAGACCTGCGATGAGTCCGCTCCCAGCTGTCTCAAAAGTTGTGAATGGGTCGGTAGCTCTAGATTCCATGCTTCCCACTGAATCGCCGGATTTGGGATTTGAAGTTTGACGCTAGGGGGAATTCGTCCCTTGGCAATTACGAGTACGGCCTTGATCACACCTGCCAGCCCACTAACGTTCTCGAGATGGCCGATATTGGCCTTGACAGAGCCCATAAGCACCGGGCCTTGCCCTTGAGATCGCCTAGCCTGCCCTAACACCGTACCAATGGACCGGCTCTCGGTCAGGTCTCCTACTGCAGTGCCCGAGCCATGGGTCTCAACATAGCTGGTCTTGGCCGGATCCAAGCCAGCCGCCTCATAGCCGGTCCGAATCAGGCTTTCTTGGGCTTCCCCGCTTGGAACTGTGATACCAGCCGTGCGCCCGTCTTGGTTGATTACCGAGCTACGAATGACTGCGATTATGGGATCGCCATCCTCAATGGCTGCAGTCAGTCGCTTCAGTATGAGCGCGCATGCTCCTTCACCGCGTCCATAGCCGTCTGCGCACTTGTCGAATGACTTGGAGCGGCCATCAGAGGCATAGAATTGGACAAAGCTGGGGCCTATCATAGCTGCTGGGTCAAGAATTAAATTCGACACCCCAGCAATGGCTTGGGTGCATTCGCCATGCCGAATACTCTCGCAGGCCTGATGCAGCGCCGCCATTCCCCCACTACACCCGGTGTCTAGGGTCAGAGAGGCCCCGTGCAGGTCGAAGAAATATGATAGTCGATTCGCATACATGGCTTCGCCATTGCCGGTTTGGCAGTAGAAGGGGAGATCCTCAGGATCGCGAAGGAGAATTTTCTCGTAGTCCCGGTTGTAAAGCGCCACATAGGCTGCGGTATCAGTTCCCCGGAATTTATCTAAAGGTGTACCGCCTATGAAGAAAATCGTGACATATTATCAGAAGACTTCTTTCAATCCAGAAAGGTGAACACTCACTGCTTTCCAAAGCTTCATAGGTCACCTCTAATAGAAGTCGCAACTGTGGATCCATTGCCTGCTAAAGTTAGCCTTTGCCTCGACTGGTCATCATACGATTAGCGGAATCAGTGTGAATAACTTATTACCTTTGCCTCCGCAGGCGAAATGTTGAAAAACGTGGCATCAAAAGAAGAGATGTCATTTGTGAGGAAATGGCCTCCTTGGGTATGAAACTGGTATCGTGGCTGTCAGAATAAATATCCAATTTTACTCCTCTCTAGACTGACCGTTCCATTCCTCCTGCTATCAGGATCATAGAAAGAACTTTCTCGAAACCGGCTGTCTGGCACTTGGGACCAGGTGGTGCGGCCCTTTTCCAACAAATCCCACAGTTTATCAACATCTGTAACTCCGCCAGGTAGGCGACATGCCATTCCAATGATCGCTACGGGCTCCTGGGGATAATTCTTCCTCGCCATAATGTGATTCAATATGGGTAATTCTTTTTTTTTTTGCGCATGTGCTGGGAGTCAAATGTTTTCGAAATGGAGTCCCCGAGAGTCGACTTTGCGTCTTATATCTTGCTACAAACGACAGGCGCAGATATGCCTACAACCCTTGTCAAGTCAGCTCACTTTTCAGATATCTCTGCAGCTCAGTGTACCTTGAGCCTCTGCGAATAGCTTATTTGGGCATCCGCAACCTTACCAATTGCCGTGGAGATTTACCTGTCCTACCCTGTCCCCTTGGACGAAACCAATGACCATGGGGCCCAGATTTCGGTAAATCCGCATCGTTACACAACAGTACACAACTGCTGGCCGAAGCCTGACAGGCGTCAATTGTCCATCAGGAAATAGACATCCAACAAATGGTATAAATGCCTCATCCCAACCGTCGATAAGTTAACAGGTCATCTTTCTCATTTGGTACGCCCCCATAGCGACTTCGCTCTATCCCTCCGTTTCTCCAGTCCTTGACGCTTGATCAAGGCAAGATACTTCTATTTCCTCTGCAAGGACCGACATACCACGGAATGAATTGCACAAACATGGCTACAACTATTACCCCCACGGAGGAGGTAGAACACCAGCTGCAGACACATCCGTTGACCCAATTCTTTCGTTCAGACTCCACACTATTCGAAACCCGCTACTATCGACATGTACCAGAATCAGGCTGAAAGGTGCGATCGGCTTGCGCGGCGCGAGTATTAGAATCTTCGAACTCCGTCCCAACATGGGGATACACCCGCAAAAATGCCTCGCTTGTGCTTTCTCACTCGGGTTGCCGTTAGCCTTTACAGAGCGCAATTTCAAGGTCGTATGGCTGGGTGAGATGCGTGACTTGCGCCACTCTCTGGATGTCGTCTTGCTTGAGGCGTTCGAGGACTTCCCATCGGGTTCCATCATCGGTGGTAGTAATGCTACCGCGATCGTACCGCCCGCGTGCAGGTCCATGGTCGAATCAGGATCTCGGGGATGTCATTGTTCATTATTATGGGGGGAATAATAAGAGGAGGTGAAGGATGAGTGATGAGGGTGCGTGTGTCTGCACAATACATGTAGTTAGCTTAAGTGGGGCCGACAGGCGATGTTCCAAGGCATATAAAATCCGCCGCAAAATTCCAAAGTTCGATCTACCTAAGCACCACCTGAAGTCTACCGCGGTTACGAAATCTACGCCTATTTCTAGAGATAGTGTAGGAGTGAGCCAGCCGGTTATTCCTGGTGCGTCTATAACGAATCCGATTTGATAGAAATGAAAAGGTGCATGATTAAAGAAATGACGTCCCAATTCTTGTCTATGTCTTTGGTGGTGTTCCGTTTCTTCTATCTGTGGGATGTATTGATTTTCATCACAACACTTCAAAGAGCACGGCAAAGGGTACCGTTTTCTTGCTGAGTCCAGGTCTCACTACCAACGCATTTATGACACCAGAGAATGCCCTCTGGGTCATATTTTTGCTTGATTGTGTGAAGACGTGGATAGTTAAGTCCCCAGAAAGACCACTGCCAGTTTGGCTCGTACGAGTTTGCCTATTTAAGTTAATGAGCCGCTGGGTTGAGCTAGAAGGAATGACAAGAAGCAACGGAAATTCTTACTTCATTGAAGTAAGCACCAGTATCAGGTGCCAGTTGTCGTAGTGCATGCCCTCTCTTGTAAGTCATATCGTGGATGGCCTTCTCCCTCAGATCATGGGGAAGTGTATCGTCCCATGTTTGAGTTGTGATAATATGAACGCTTGAATCGCGCCAGGCTGGATTCAAAGCATTGTCAACAGGGGTTACGCTCGCTGTCATGGTGCCAGAGACAGATGGATCAGTTACTCCTCTCTGTATATGATGTTAGCTCGCTATATGAGCATCCATGACGTTTCAATGGATACTGTACATACTCCTGAAAGAGAATCTGGGGCCATTATTGCCTCAAGAGCTTTCGCCAGTGATTCGGTGTCCTTCATTGCTCGCCTTGGGATGAATCGTGACGACCGAGTGCTGTGCACTTTCCCCGTGCTTCCGTACAGCGGTATGTTCTTTACAAGGTCATACCAAGACGATGCCCACTGTTCAGTAAAATTGGCACTGACTGTCGCGTTTGCTGCACTCAGGAGTTTTCGCATGGGAATCAGAAGTGTGTCAGATGTCTTGTTACCTGCGTTGTACTGCAGTAAAGCAACATTGAATGACATCGGTGAGCTCGACAAGGTATAATACCCATGAACTCCAGAATTCTGCAACTGGGGGAACTCGCCATGCATCCGTGCAACAAGGCTATACCAATCCTTGGTGGATGTATTATCCTTGGGGGATACATCGATCCCCATCAGCATAGTTGATGGCATCTTATACGCCTTGACCGTGACACTAATGATGATTCCAAAAGTACCTCCACCCCCACCACGAATCGCCCAAAAGAGATCTTCATTTTGGCAATCATTAACGTTGAGGACTTCGCCGCTCGGTGTCACGATCACTGCCTCGATGATATTATCGGCACCCATACCGTACACACCAGTTGCAAGACCGTGGCCACCACCAGTAGCCCAACCAACAACTCCAACATCCTATGAAGGTCAATAAAATGCTAGTCTACGCAGGAATTGGAAAGCCTGGTTTCACATACATTGTTTTGTCCACCAACAGCAATAGCATTGTGTTTTGCCATAGCTGCAAACAACTCGCCATCTTGGACACCAGCACCCAGAGTAGCTGCCATACCCGTTTTGTTGTTCGAACAAGTCTGTGGCGTAAATCTTTCGTGATACTGGATGTCTTTGATGTTATGTGTCCAGATTCTGTAGCCATTAGTTTTGTTAACTTGAAAGACAGTGGTACATACGAAAGACTTTCGGGGTTGATGCTATATTTTGGAAACCAGTAGTTAATTTCAGCCAGCTCCCAAAGGAATTGCAAGGTATCACTGACCTTCTCTCGCCGCTATGTCCTGTATTCTTGATGTTTAGCCGCAAGTGCCATTTTTTGGCGAAAGCAACAGCGGCTTGGACATCGTCGGCCCCTGTTGCATTGACCACGTATGGAGGGTAATTGCCTAGCGAACATCCTTGCTTCGCCGCTTTTGAGTTACCAGAGACGCTGGTGCCATTGGAAAAGATTGGACTACATGCATTGTCCAAAGAAGGATCACCGACGCTCGTTGGGTTTGCCGAATGAAACGGCCAAGTAGTCCAGTTGGACCGGACAGTTTGACAGGCCTCGGCGTCGAAAGTAGGTTCGGAAGGGTAGCAGACAGATGCCACAGGCGTCGTTTTTATAAGACGGCCTGAGATAGTGTCATTGAGTGAAGCCCATTCTGTGATTGAAGGCCAGCATGACATGGAAGGAACCTACGTATCTCGGGTGAGCATAAGTATTAGGAGAGAATTCAGGGATCACCGACACATTTGCAGTCCGCTGCGGCAGCAGCGCCACCTCCCACTAGATATGCTGAAAGCCAAAATTGAAGTCGCATAGCGGAGGAGATGAGAATTGGAAACCGTGTGTTTCCCAAGAGTGAAGACAGGTAAGCAATCCTAAATACTTTGCTTGCGGCTAAGGAGAACTGACTCTCCACTCCCACGAATCAGGATATTATATCGTATTCGTCCAATTCTAATTTTAGTACCATAAGATCTTCTTCATTACTTTTTCATGGATCTATACTGTGGAAATAAGTGGGCCTCGGATACCACCCTAATGTAGTAATTCCATCGTATTCGTGACAACCCAGGAGTAGATTTATCTCGGACGATCAGTGTACCCACAACAGGAGTTGAACTTGATATCCACGTCATCATTGCCTATCCAATTGATTAGGGGCTGAAGTCGCACATTAAGTTTCGGAATGGCTGTGTCATGTGTAAAAGTCGACGGATCAAGGTGAGCACGCTACACATACCATGTCCTGTCAAAAAGAAAATATACGAAAAGGGGAGGAGGTACGCACGGCCCACCTACGTCGATCTTATGTCTTCACTGATACCAATTTTTCTAGTGTGCTGAAGGCAGGCCAAGTTGTGGAAATTGCATTCGCTTCTCAGTTAGATCTCATTAACAGGTTCAAATAATTATCTTTCCATGTCTCTAGTTATATGTAGAAAAGGTGATCATGAAGGGTACTTTCATGATCAGGATTGGATTTATAGACCTTGTTTTCTTTTCGCGCATGATTGGTTCCATCCAAGCTCTTCACAGCCGCCCCATTCTAAGAACACATGCTCTTCTCATAAAGGCGTATGATATAATGAAGCCTCTAGCCACCGGAACCCCATGCCCACGAAGGCGTACACGTGCACGTGCTACCTAGTACCTACACCGTACACGACTCTAGGTGAATTCCCACAAGCACATTTCGAAGCCCGAACAAATGCACAGTCTGGCCAAACGCAACCAAAATATGGAAGATCTGATGGCTAGCACCCTATATCTATTATTAGTCCCAACCAATCTTTCTTCCACCATGGACACGAATCAGACTCACGATCAGATCGAATTGCGCCGGCCAATACCGTTCTGGAAAGCGGAAGACATACGCCATTGTGCCAATTGCATACGAGGAACAGGTTACCATGAGAGTTTCCCAAGGTATGCGGATAAGATTGCAAGGGAAACCGCTTGATATAACGTGAAAGACAGGGGCTAGGCCACTAGCCGCTAGCAGGATGAATACAGCGGCTCTGTGTGAGGAAAGAGAGGTGTTATTGATCGAAATGCTGTAATAGTATGAGAGAAGAGATATAATGGAGCTTACCTCCATGGGCCTGCACGGGCACCATCCATACCGACATCAAGTGCGATACAGAAGACCATGGCTGCGCAGAGTACAGTGAAGAGAATATAGACGCACTGTAGTATCGGTTGGCCCTGTAGGGCGAAATAGGCGACTGAGATACATGTGGTTGAGATGGTGAGAACAATTCCGAAGTAATCTAGTTTGAGGAAGGCATGAGCGACTTCAGGTGAATGTGCGTTGGTTGCGTGGAAGGTAGCCTGGAGTTTTGAGGATCAGTCAAGTACTTCTAGACCCAAGATCTGCTCTTCTCTATGGAAAGGCTCTCCACTAATCCCTACGTCATTCGACGCCTACATCCCAGAGATGACCGTCTCCCTTTCCCAGTTGACGATGGGGTGGTGCAAAACCTGGCTGGAGGGCGAACACTCGCGGATCTACACCAGGAAGGACGTCTCTTCTTTGCGGACCATTCCTACCAAGCCACCTACCCAAAGACTCCTGAGCGCTGGTCAGCCGCTTGTACCGCGTATTTCTATGTTCATCCTCTCTCTGACGATTTCCTTCCATTGGCTATCAAAACCAACATGGGGAAGGACCTTACATATACGCCACGGGACGACGCAAATGATGGGCTTTTTGCCAAAATTGCCTTCAGCATGAATGATCTCTTCCATTCGCAGCTATATCATCTAGCAAATACACATGATGTCGCTGAGCCCGTACGCCAGGCGGGCTTGCGAACCATGAGCGCTCGACATCCTGTCCGCGGATATCTGGACCGCTGTATGATGCTCTCCCTCTGGCTTTGCAAAATGCACCGCAGCTAATTGTTTAACAGTAATGTATCAGGCATATGCGGTTTGACCCATCGGTGAGGAGTCCCTTTTCATACGACAGCTCTTTCGCGCTTGTGAACTGGGCCGGCAAGAAATTCGCAACAGACGCCTATTGGGAGCACGCGGGCCATTTCAGGTCCACGAATTTCTATCGGGATTTTGCAGACCGTGGTCTTCTCGATTGCGCGTATGGGCTTCCACTCCGCTCCTTCCCATTCTACGAGACGGTGGCGCCCATGGTGCAAGCTATTGAAGACTTCACCCGTTCATTCGTGGAAGATTTCTACACCGAGAACAGCTTGATGGGCAGCGACCACGAACTACAAGCCTGGATCATGGAGGCCACCAGTGAGGCTCAAGTTATTGACTTTTCCCCCGCCCCGTTACTCGCGCGCAAGGATCTCGTCTCGATTCCCTCGCACATGGCATTCCTCTCTGGAATTGCACGTCATGCACTCAATGGTGCGACTGTCGGTGAGGCCCTGGGTGTACTTCCGTTACAACATTCTTCCTTCAACAGGCCACTGCCTGAGGCTAAGGGGAGCATCGACTCGCTGCTCCCGTGGCTGCATAACGAGACCGAGGCACTGAAGCAAGCTTCGCTCCTCGTGAGGTTCAACCGACCATTGCTCAACGAGCAGAAGGGGAACCTTCTGCATATTTTCTGGGAGACAGAATTCCTGGGCCCAGCTGGGAGCGCTCTTCATGCTGCCGAGAGGAGGTTTCGGGCGACGATGTTGGCGATCAGTGAAGAAATCCAAACAAGGCAGTTCGATGAGTATGGTTTATCGCAGGGGATGCCTTTTATCTGGCGTTCAATTGATCCGAGAAAGATTCCATATTATCTGTGTGTATAGAATAGAGTACGAAGGTCGTTTCTGTTGAGATTCAATGAGAATTATGAAGCTTCACTACTTGTCTTGTCAGGCAATAATCGCATTATCAGTACTGAACCTCCATGAAGCTCGCTTTCCATGGAACTCTTCGTATTTCTACGGAGCGTCCACCTCTGCTCCATATGTTAAATATACGATATATGGGAGAAGGAAGCATAAACTGGGTCGGTTCCAGAGAGGTGGTTAAGTCTGATCTCTCATATAATGAGAGATCCTGCTATATAAAGAGTAGAAATCTGTCTATACTAGAAAATACCGAGTAGGTTCAATGCTGATCAGATTGAATACGTATTCAATCCAGCCAATCAGACATATGCCTCGTCTACCAGGCATCAATTCCTTGATGCCGCATGCATCTGAACATTATATATAACAAAGCCATAGACTCCGATTCTCGAAAGGCTATTGATAAATAAACTACAGCTTTGATTCAGGCTTGCTGATAATTGTACCCCATGCCTGCTCTACACACTCCCTATACCGCATCGGATCGAAAGGCATGTGGGCACAATGACCCGTGCCTTTGAAAACCACTTCTTTCATCTTCCAACCCTCCTCCCTAGCCTTCCCTGCATGATCCCAGACGTCCGTTGCCCACCTTCGCCTCTAGCGCCCTGCACACCTCCACCGAGCTCAGTTTCTATATGGTTTCAATTCTCAACGCGGGCTCCGCATTCGGTCGTATCGGTTCCTCCTTGCTCACCCCTCACCTGGGAGCCAGCCTCGTTTTGCTCACCAGCGTCTTCGCCTCAGCCGTGATCCTCTTCGGCTGGACAGGTATCCACTCTATCCCCGCTTTCATCGTGTTTTGTGTCCTTTTTGGCATCTTCTCCGGAGTGTTAATCTCCGCGAACCCATTGGTCATCGCCCATCCCGTTGTCTCACCGACACCCTCCGTTATTGGTACCCGCATGGGGATGCAGTGGTTTGCCACTAGTCTGGGGGTACTGATTGGAGCGCCGATCGCAGGCCTTATTGAGGGTCATGGTGGAGAGAACGGCTTCCTTTGGTTGCAGACCTTCTGTGGGATAATAATGACGGTGGGAGCAGCGTTTCTCCTCGTGCCAATTATGGCGATTTGGCGTCTCGATAAGCCTGTTTGAGTGTTGGGGGTCCTCCGTTCACGTATTTCAATACATGTTTCAGCCCCCTGCTTGGCGATCTCCAGTGTGGGCGCCCCCTCACCCGGGCATGAGCGGGTAGGGCTGCATGCCCATCAGTGGGGTTGCATTAGTGCTTGTGCAAAGTACAACACCTGCGTACAGTACATTTGGAAATAATACATGTATTTTTAATTTCGGTTATAACCTGAGAATACACATCTAAGTCAGCATACTAGAGTGACGCAGCAAAAGGTTTTGACACCCCTTTGATTACTCAGATTCTTCCGGTCAAAAAGTCGATTTTTCAACGCCCCTCTGAATTCCTGATGAATCACTTAACTCCAAAAAAAAGCGCTTACTTAAGCAAGCACGTTTACCTAATAGGTAATATAGTTTGCGATAGGCGGTCTAGAAAGCGGTCTGTGTAAGGGTGTTAAAATATTTGCTGCGTCACTGTACAGTTCAGAGCCCCATACCCATACCGTACATGACCATGGACCCATAGAAAATGACAAAATGCCCGTACAGACTATAATTGGCCGCTTGAATCTAGAATCTAGAATCTATCCGACTACGCTTTTCCGAGCCGTGGCTACTTTCTGCATTAGTATATCCCAGATATCTCGATCCTTCCTTAGTGACGATGTAGGTCTTCTATCTACCCTTGACTGGCCACGTCAACGTCGGAGGGGCTAGGTATGCATATGTAGGAGAACGGACAGAAAATTCGTCTTTAACGCTCGGGGAGACATGAGCTTGCGGAGGGGGCGAGATTTCTACCGGACATAAGCCTCAATTGGGTTGATGGTCTTGTTATTCTTGTGCAGGTGAACTGGGCATTCACGAGGAAACTTATGAATTTATTGGCTTCCGCCAAGTAAGTGTGGCATTGGTCAGCTCGGTTAGTGAAAGATGGGAAGGGGGTGGTGGAGGGCATAAACAAAAACTCTGGGAACCGTCCTAATGATCTTGGACTTTGAACTAATTCTCTCATACTCCTTCACTTAAGCCACCGTCAGCTGCTATAGAAATCATCGCAATGGATTTGTACAAGACTAGTTCTTTGGAGCTGCTTCTTCCCCCTCGCTTTGTCTCGGCAATCTCCAGGCCAATTGTGCTGTTTGGCTTCGCTTGTGCATTCCTATTGTTCCAACTTTTATTTTGGACGGTCCGGTACTCCCGTAAACATACAAAACTTCCTGCCAATATCCCTGGTCCTTCGGGTTGGCCACTTATTGGGATTGGGCTGGATCTACCTGCCCGGCCTCGGCAGCTGTTGAACCGCTGGACGGCGCAGTATGGGGATACCTTCAAGGTGCGCGTGGGTTGGTATAACTGGGTGTTCTTTAACAGCCCAGATGCAGTCAAGGAAGTACTTGATAGACAGGTAATTCCGCTCCTCAAACCCAACAGTACAAGAAATAGAAGCAGATGCCAATTGACCATACATAGGCTGCCATCACATCAGGCAAGCCGCCCCTCCCCATCGCACAGGAGTATTGTCTGCGGGGTGAGGAAGTGCTGCCCATGACCTACAGTACGAAATGGAAGCGGCTTCATGCGTTTCTGAAGCAACTTCTCAATGCCAAGGCGTCCGCAGCATTCATCCCAAGTCAGGAGTTTGAAATCAAGCAACTCCTCTCGGATCTCAGCCACGAAGCGAATCACGAGGACCGCAACACCACCGACTTCTACAGACACATCCGCCGCATGACTTTCTCCATTGTCATGACATCGGCCTACGGGCTCCGAATCCCGAAGTGGGACTGCCAGGAAGTCCGCGACGTCTACGGCAATATGCGGATGCTGTCCATCATCCTGACCCCCGGAGTCTTCTGGGTCGATGTGTTCCCGCTCCTGAACTGGCTGCCGCGGTTCCTGTTCCCCTCGTGGCCAAAGGCCAAGTTCATGGCTGAAAAGATGCACGGCAATAAGATGCGCCACTGGAACAATCTGAAGGAGCGTATCGCCGCGGGTAACGCCCCGGAGTGCTTCGCCAAAGATCTCATGGAGTCGAACTACCGCGAATACGGTCTGGAGGAGGAGAGTATCTCATTGTTGGCCAGCGCTGTCCCCGAAGCAGGGGCCGAGACGACCGCCAGCGCGCTGAACGGCATGATACGGTACCTGGCAATGTTCCCAGAGGCGCAGGCGCGAGCACACGAGGAGGTGACGCGGGTCCTGGGTGATGGTCGCATGGCCACCTTAGCCGACGAGCCCCGAATGCCTATATCAGAGCCGTTATCAAAGAGACCCTATGGCTGTGTCCGGTCGCTACGACGGGGCTGCGGCGTATGGCAGATGGGGACGTCCACTAGCGTGACCATCAGATCCCCAAGGGTACTATTCTCCTCGCCAATCTGAACGCTCTGCACTGGGACCAGGAGCGCTTCTCAGATCCCTTTAGCTTCAAGCCTGAGCGCTACCTTAATCACCCACAGCGTTCCGCTGTTTACGCCGCGGGTGGCGATATCTTCGCCCGCGACCATTTCACCTTTGGCGCGGGCCGTCGTATTTGCCCAGGGATTCACTTGGCTGAGAATGGGCTTTTCTTGGCGGTCGCCAATCTCATCTGGGCCTATGAGTTCCGTTTGCCGCTGGATGATAAGGGGAACGAGGTCCCCTTGGATATCGGCGATGAAGGCTTTATGGAGGGCGCGATCCGGGTGCCGAAGGAGTACCCGGTGCGAATCCTTGAGCGTACTGCAGCTCGATTGGACCTTGATACGGCAACAGTGGGATGAGGCGCAGAAAGATGGGTATGTCCTGCGAGGGGTGCGTGTGGACGTAGACGGAGGGGTTCGAGGAGCATCAAAGAAAGTTGAGTAGATGTAAACATCAACTTTCTGGGTGAGGGAGTTGGATATCTGCTTCGAGATAATGGGGCTTGATATGGGTACTCCTAAGTTGGCTTTGATAGTCTAGGAATGATCCATCCACTTTGTTATTCTAATCACCCTGGGGGTGACTATACACTCTACTAGATCTGCATGGCCCATGGTCCGTAAATCTGGAATCCTGCCCATACGAGGGCCGACCCATTGGGCCCATCGGGCGGCGAAATAAGAGAACTTGGATATCTGCGATGAAGTGTGGCTTTACTGGTGTTGGTGGATCCTGGGCTTTGGGTTAGATATGTTTGTCGTTTAGTTTCTAGATAATCAAATAAGTTTCCAGGGCATTGATTGATCCGAAGTTATATCTATTCCAAAAACGACCGTTGGTAGACGCTTTGAGCCAAGGCGATATCTACTTCAATATCTTTTTTCCATGTCGGGTTTCTTAACAGATTCGCCCCTCATTCTGTACAGTATGAATGCAGTTTGGCAGATACTTTTCGTGTTTAGCCTTGTCATAATGCTCGAGACAATTGAGATTAATAAAGTAGGAAGATTCACTATCTTCTAGTGATTTAAAAAAATGCTGTTATGCTTCTTTCTCTTCTCACTTCCTCTCCTATTCATGCTGCTCTTCAGGCTTTCTTAGACATGAGATAGCGGGGTAGTTATAAATTTCTCAGGAGTTTCAAATACAATATCCGGTGGCGCTACAGCATCAGGCTATGATAGACTTTTAATAGCATCACTTCGTCGACGGCAATGTAGAAAGTGATCTGAAAAGCAGTAAGCGTGGGTTAAAATGACTCAAAATGACTCATCTGGAGATGATCAATCCATGATATTTCTCCGTTAACTAATCGGTGCCTGGCATTTTGCTTACCGGAGTAAGATCGCTCCGATTGGCCAGATGACCCACTTAGCATCGTCCGACTCGATGTAAGTCGGATGAACCAGGTGTGAGATTATCAATTTACTTGTGAAATATGTCCGAATATAACCATTTAAATAGGGCCATCCACTTGTAGTATACATTAATTCCATTCCATTCTTCTTGTATATTTCACATCTCCTTCTTATATATTTACTCTCTCGCCTCGTTTATTTGTTTTTTACATTCCATTCTTCTTACAGATCCGTCTCCCAGTCTTCATCTTTCCTCCAAAGGACTATCTTCTCCAACGCAATGTCTTCCTTGAACGACCTTCTTAAAATCGCAAACCCAGTTCGCGCGTTTGCGTTGAAGAATTTCAGCGTTACTGCCCATCCTGACGAGGTGCTCCAAATCCCGTCGCGAGAACAAGGGCGATTCATTCGAATTCATGCCTACAACACGCTCCACAGGAGTACCCCGGCCCCAGTTCTCGTCAATTTCCATGGTAGCGGGTTCGTGAACCCTTTACATGGGAGTGACGACGAGTTCTGCAAATTCATTCTTGAGAAAACTGGATTTGCGGTTCTGGACTGCTCCTATCGACTCGCACCGGAGAATAGATTCCCTGCTGCAGTCCACGACGCCGAAGATGCGGTACAATGGGTCCTTTCGCATCCGGAGAAGTTCGATGCTTCCCAGCTATCGATTTCTGGCTTTAGTGCTGGAGGGATCTTGTCTCTGGTTCTTAGCTCGGTGGTCTTTCCACAAGGAACATTCAAGAATGTCTTCGCCGCATATCCTCCAACAGATATGGTCCAAAGTTCCGCAGAGAAGATTGCCCCCGATACGTCGAGGGATGGTGCCCCTGTCGAGCTGCTGGATACATTCATGAAATGCTACTATTCAACCCCCGAAGAAGTGAGGAGCGTCCTGTCCTCACCAGCCTTTATACCGGCTGAAAAGTTCTCGGATAGAATTTTTCTCGCTACTGCGGCTTGCGATCGCCTCTGCCTCGAAGGTGAGGCGCTTGGAAATAAGATCAAGAATGCGACGAGCAAACATGTCGAGATGCACCGGTACGATGGTTGTGAACACGCATTCGACAAAGCGTACGAGAAAGGCTCTGTTCAGGAAAGAGCGAAAGATGACCTCTACGAAAGAATGGCCTCATTCCTAATGGAGTGATCAGTTTGTGTCTGTTAGGACTAAACGCTAACGCTAGCATGTTTTTGCCTTTCTAGTGTATTGGAATATATAATCTGTCCTCCAACTTTAGTCGATTCTTCACTAAAATATATTACCTTAATTGCAAGTCGTCAGTTCTTTCACCCGTGACGAATCCTATCGAATTTCTAATTAGTGGATAACCGGATAGTAGGCTAATCGAACTAATAGACAGAATTGCTATCGGCTAGCCCATATAGCTGAAATGATCTAAAAATAAGCAGATAGAATTGAGTTTATCAGACGAAAGTTGTAACGAGTTATTGTCGAGGACGATGCGTAATCAGCCTGACCAATAAGGCACCAACCTCCGAATTTTATATGCGGAGTGCATCCTCCCCCGCGTGCGGTAGCCAATCACTTGAGGGCGGGGTGTACTGCAAGCGTCCATCGGGACTTCAACCCGACTTCTTTGTTCTTTCATATTATTCGGCTTACTCCTGTCGGTTTCTCTGATCTTGTCACGTTCTTTCCCGTCTTGCAGATCCTCATTCGAAAGTCACGTGGGCGATGTCGCTAAAACAAGGTTCCTGAAGATTCGGGATCTTTTCGTGGCTGAGCCGAGTCCCATCGCTGTGACCCCCCGGTAAATATGCCGCACGTTCGATCTGATCGGTCGGAATCGTCCTTTGGGTCGATATCGTCACAGCAGGACACCCAAGATGACCTTAGCAAGCAGAAACCGTCACTCTTCAGCTTTGTCAAAAAAGCGTGCCAGAAAACGGGCTTGGACAGACCCACCATCCTCTTGATGATGAAGTGAGTTCAAGACCAAGCTTCCGAACGTGGCACAGTGCAATATCTCTAATAGTTACTATAGAGGCGGTATTCCACCCACCATAGCCGTTTCTATGTGAGTTACCAACCCTGGAAGTTCCCAGTCTATCGCAATCGGCCTGACCGCTAGTCCAGCTACCAAGCCATGCCTGTTGCCCATGAGTACACGACCTTGGGATATCTCGTGGCCATTGTCTCTATCCTGGGATTTGCGATTATGCCCCGCGCAAAGTTTATCCAGATGATGATCTTTGACGTTTTGGCTGTCTGCATAGCAGCATGTTTCGCCCTGTTGACAATGTTCTCCAGTGTCAGGGCGCGTCAACACACCTCTACTGACCCTACTGATTCATACAATGCCTCGGCATCTGCTGTGAGCGGTTTGTGGCTGTTCTTCCAAATCTGGATGGTTCACACCTTCCGCGCCAAATACCCGCAGCTGCAATTCCCCGTCATTATTTACGCAATCTTCGCGAACATCTCTTCGGTATACGCTCCCCAAATGAAGAATATGACAGCTGGGATTGGCATGGTGACTCAATTGCTCAAAGCATGCCTTACTGGTCTCGGCATTTCAACAGCAACATCGCTATTCATCCTTCCAATGACGTCACGGCAGGTCGTCTTCAAACAAATGGCAAGCTACATTGGCGGGCTTCGCTCAGCCTTGAATGCACATGCTATATATTTTCAATCGTTGGAAAGAGACGACATATTTGGTCGCACGGAAACATATGATGATGCCCGTGAGAAGTTCGGCAAGAAGGGAAAGATCTACAGTCCCGAGGCAGAAGCCATCCGCGGTGCGGTCCGTCAGATCACAGATATCCATGCCAAATTACATGGCGATCTCACATTTGCGAAGCGTGAGATCGCATTTGGAAGATTGGGACCTGATGATCTTCAGACGATCTTCCGTCATCTTCGCCAGATTATGATCCCGGTCGTGGGGTTGAGCTTCGTGGTGGACATTTTTCAGCGACTGTCAGACTATAACAGATGGAATCAACCAATTGACCTAAATGAGCCTGTAGTCCCAGAGGATATCCGACAGCGCGTTGTGCACGAGTGGAATGATATCATGAGGGCGGTACACGATCCCTTCGCCGTTATGATCCAAACTATTGATGAGGGATTACTGCATACGTCCTATGTTCTCAGGATAACAAAGCCGCCCAGACGCATAAGTACAGCGGAACCATCAGATGACAATTCAATGGAGGAAGACAAAGATGTGGAGGCCAGAGCCGAGAACACTGCACCTGGGGAAAAGGCATTTATCAAGCACTTTGAAAAGAGACTTGGCGAATTTCGAATCGCAAAACGCCTTGCTCTGCAGACGTGGGCCGAGGAGAAGGGTGTCACACTCCCGCCCGACTTTTTCGATCACCCTGCTTCTCCTGAGATGTTGAACACGGATTTCTTGGATACCTCTGCTACGCAAAAAGAGCGAAGCCGGCGACAGCTGTATCTATTTCTCTATGTAAGCCTTCGTCTACCGGCCAGGCGATACGCTGAAAGCTAACATAAACTCAGATGGAACAATTGCTGTACTCCACAGGCCAAACTGTGCTCAACTTTGTTCGTTATGCCAATCACGTTGAGGCGAAAGGAAAGCTATCGAAGACCCGGCTTGTCATTCCTGGTGGTAAGCGAGTGTGGAAGTGGGCCAAGTCCTTTATGACTGCGCAGGATCACGAAGATGATAATATGGGTGACATTCATACACAAAACAACATCCTTCAACTTGGCGAGGCATATAAGCTCCGCAAAGACCCCGAGCACCTGCCACCGACCACTCGTTTTGAGAAGATTGGGGACAGAATCCGGGTCATCCCAGGGTTCCTGCGCTCGCTTGAGTCGTCCTATGGCTTCCGTGTTGCCTGTGCGACCATGACCATTGCGATCGTCGCGTTCCTACGCGATACCCAGACCTTCTTTATCGCGCAAAGATTAGTGTGGGGCTTGATCATGGTTAATCTCAGTATGTCTCCTACCTCAGGACAGAGCATTTTCAGCTTCGTGTTACGGATTTTGGGTACTTTCCTTGCAATGGTAGCAAGTCTTCTGATCTGGTATATTCCCGGTACAAGGACACCGGGTATTATCGTTTTTCTGTTCGTCTTTGTCTCTATTGCCTTCTACATCCCTATCAAGATGTTCCGCTTCCGAGCTGTCGGGATCATCAGCATCATCACTACAAGCATGATTATTGGTTATGAGCTCCAAGTTCGCCGAGTCGGTGAGGCAGTCGCGACATCCAATGGACAACCCTTCTACCCAATCTACCTCCTAGCGCCTTATCGGCTGGCGGTTGTGGCGGGCGGTATCGCTGTCGCATTCATTTGGACGTTCTTCCCATATCCTATCTCTGAGCACTCAGTTCTCCGTCAAAGTCTAGGAGCGTCTTTGTATCTTCTGGCGAACTACTACTCGATCATCCACGAGACAATATCGGGTCGTATGCGTGGTGACGAAGGCGAATACCTACTCAAGACCTCCCAGGGTCGCAAACTTGAGAAAGCACGACATAAAGTGTTCTCAAAGCAGGTGCTTATGCTGGCCGGTTTACGGGAATACTCTGGGTTCCTTCGATGGGAGGTCCCGGTTGGTGGTCGGTTCCCCAAGAAGCAGTATGATTCGATTATTGTCTGTGTAGAGAAGTATGTTATGCCCTCCCACCTCCGTTCTAGGTACTAACGGTGTTTATCTTTAGTATCGTGAACTACCTCAGCTTGCTGGGCTACGCATCTGATACCATCATGCATCTTGCCGAGGGCGAAGATCCCACAGATACCGCCTGGATGCTCGATTTCCGACGGCTAGTCAATACCGCCAAAGTGACGACCCACGAGGTCACGTCTTTGCTTTGCCTTCTCTCCGCTAGCATTACCAACCGACAACCTCTGCCGCCGTATCTCAAAGCTCCCCGTCCGTACGGTTTCGCGAGGCGCTTGAATGAACTTGACAGTGAACTTCTGAGCCTCCGGCACATGGCCGAGCCGGGATTTGCAGCGTTCGCAGTTTTGCAGATCTCGACCCGCTGCATTGTCGGTGATATGGACAGATTGCTCCGGTAGGCTTGTGATATCCCTAGTCGACTGGCCCAGTTTGCTAATAGTGCTGTTCATTATAGGCTAGTCAAAGGCTTAGTGGGCGAATTAGACTTCTCTTTCCACGCTGTGAGCACAGGAGAGTCAATGGCCGAATCGCGAATGCCCTCCCGGGTGGGATCAAGAGTGGACTTGAGCGAGTACGAGTTGTCCCAACCTGGTGATAGGCACAAGAGCGATTAACTTACTATTTTCCTGTTGGTCCGTCCGCGGTTTGGAGGGAGCTTTCCTGTACATATTTTGACATGCACGTGTGGCTTGTACATAACGAGATAACGCATATCACTATCATTGACTTCATCACCGCAGAGTTGCACAAATGACCGCGGTAGATTTCCCCCCAACCATACCATAGTTCTCCGCAATCGGTCCATCTAGATATACAACCAGACTTGCAACCCTCAGTCTTCCTCCTTCCGTCTCCATTCTCATCTAGTCACATTAAGCCAACCATAATGGCAGAGGTCAAAGTCGACAAAGTTCCTTTCTCCTAATCCACCGGTAAGACTCCTGATAATCGGTGCAGCGCGGGGGATGATCCTATTCAACTCCCACGGTGCCAATGTCGTTCTCGCCGACCTTCTGCAGCTGCGAGCGCACGCCGAGAAAGCCATTCAAAAACAGATGGAGTCCCCAAAGTTAATATTCGTATCTGCCGATATCACTAACTGGGAGAAGCTAACAACATGCTTCGAAGCGGCGATCACCATCTTAGGCAAGGTCGACATCGTCATTTCCAACGCGGGTATTATGGGATCCGAATCCGTTCTGCATACGGACAACGTGGATGTGAACGGACGTCTTCTCGATAGTCTGGAGGCGGGAAGGGTTATTGATGTTAATCTTAAAGGAACATTGAATAGTGAATTTTCCCATCTCTTCAATCCTCAATCTCAGGTCGAATCCAATTTCAGCTTGCACAACCTATAAAAAACAGCCCTCACTTATGACTACACTATGCGAAGCTTTCCACATCAACCACCACAGGCCCCCGACCAACAAAGTCAATCTTACTAGTCGCACCCACATCTATTTATTTCGGCGGAACTGGTGTAGCCGCCTGCATCGCGT